CAATCAATCAACCAATCAATTAATCGGTCAATCAATCAATCAATCAATCAACGAATTAATGAATCAATCAAGTTTATTTTCTTTCACCCAGGACCAAAAAAAAAACATCTTTTTTTGTACAACTTTTTTGAATGGGGGGCTACCGCCTGACACCCGACCCCCCCCCAGCCCATCCATCCCCTCAGCACCCCTCCGGAAGGCCGTGTACGGACGACCCAAAGTCCGTACGTATGGGCCATATGGGAGCCGGGGGGGCCGTTCGTACTGACGTCTGGACGTGCAGACGGACCGTATTCGTACAGCGGTATACACTGACATGCAGGTTAAAGAAAAATGGTGAGGTATCGTGCTCCTTCAGGGGTAATGGTGCATATGCGGATTCGTCAATTGCATTGTGTAGGGAGGAGGTTCATGCCCTGATGCAGTGGGTGCTTGACAAAAGTTTTACCACCCTTGGGGGTGAATTGTGGAGGCAGATAGAGGGCATCCCAATAGGACTTCCCTGCTCCCCCTCTTGTTGCATTATTTACTTTTTTAAGTATGAATTCTCGCTAATCACAAGAATCATCGATAATGGTGCTTTGGGGGTCCTTTCGATTTTTAAGTATATTTTCAGATACATTGATGACGTGCATTGTGTCAACAACCCCTCTATCTTGAGGTTTCTTGACCAGGAACAGGAGAGGCGTAGGGACAATATCTTTCATATTTACCCCTTGCACCTAATCCAAATAAAGAACCAGACAGAGGTGTTAAGTACCTGTGAAAACGGTGACATCTATGGGCTTGAGGCCCAATTTCTGAACTCAGAAATCACGGTTATCTCTGATGGATCTGGGGAATTTTTTACTACAAAGTTCGACAAAAAGAGGTTGCTGGACTTTCCTATTATCAAATACCTTAAGCTCTCATCTACCAGGCATGAACAACAGTCTCTAAATATTATCATCCCCCAGGTAGCTGTCATCTTGGTTCTCTGCACCAGATCGATGGATGCTGCCTCTGAGATCCTAATGGTAGTCTCTTACATGGTAAGAAATGGGTTCGGTCTTAAGAAATTCCTCTGATCTGTGGACAAGGTCCTTAACTCGCCTAGCAACTACATGGCACCACAGGTTGATAAGGCTTGTACGACTCTCAAATTCAAGGTGAGAGAATTAAACTGCTCAAAATTTGGTGTTGCCTGATTCATGTTTCAGCTGTAAGTGTTGGTGATACGTGGAGTGTTTCTGTGTGTTTTCATTCATTAGAGTCTTTTGCCGACTGAACTAGGTGGTGGTTGACGAGTACCCTGCCTGAGAGGCGGGTACTCGTTGCCCGCTTTTCAGGTTCCTTGTCAGCGGGACAGGGGAGGGTCACACACACACACACACACACACACACACACACTCTTAAAATGGATGAAGGTATGACTTTTCTTTGTTATTTTTTCTGACTTTTTTAAAGTTTTTTTTTTTTTTCTAATTTTTTTCTGACTTCTTTGAGCACTTGATTGTACTGATGATTCTAAAGATGGTAGCTAGGCTAGTACTGTGTATATAAATCTGCATATATATATAAACATATAAATGTATATATATATATATATATATATATATATATATATATATATACATGTGGTATATTGGGGTATATCCTCCGTCAGGTTCTTCTGAGAATAGTGCTCACCTTCCCCTTTTTTTTCAAAAATATACATATGGGCCTTGGGGCGCAAAGTGGGCACTCTTTTTTAGCCCTTTGCTTACAATTTCGGTTCTCATCGATCAGTGGTTAAAACTAGTTCTACGGATACCGCTTCGAATGAAAGAACCCTCCTAGGCCAAACGTACGAACCTCGGAACTATTTAATATGTCTCTTTGTATGATCATGCGCTCTTTCTTCTGGAGCCGAAGTTGGTTGCGGACAGCTTTGCCAATCCAACATGGTCCTTGGCGAGGCTATACGCATCCACCTTCGCGCTGCTCCGCGCATTTCTGAGTGCTAGTGCGCTGACGAAGCTGGAGTTTGTTGCCTTTGAGTACGTGAGACGCATCGTGCTAGGCTATGCTGCTGTCTCTCATCCCTTGCTCCGGGTCTACCATGGCGTCCGCTCCGTCCTCCCGTACTACGACGGTAATGGATCATATTTCCAAATGCCCCTCCACCCACCCCCCTCCTCCCCTCTCCCTCGTCCCTTCGCCCCTCTCGTCCATCTTCTTTTCTCTCTTCTTCCTTCTCCCATTTTGGAACGATAACCGAGGGGCATCTCCCCCCTGATGAGCCAGTTTTGTGGACGCTGGCGAAAAAGCTTTTGGGACTTGTCTACTCCTCCTTTTCTCTGGTTTCGTCGATACAATTTGGGTCGCTTGGCCGATTTGGGAGATGCCTTCCTTCACTCCTCCTCTCTCACAAACCCTCCTCCATTCTAGTCACACCCCTCTCCCCTCCTCCATTCGCCATGAATGATGAATGTGTAACGGGTTGTTTGATGCATTGTGTGCCTACCGTTTTGGATTCATGTGTTGATGTAGGAAATGCTCGCGGATTCGCACCTTTATTAGATGGTCTGCCACTCCGAGTGGCTCATGGATTACCCGTCCTTCTGCTTGGGAGCAATCACAGTCTTCTGTTTGCTACTTGCCACTCTTGCGTTCTTCGAGTTCCTTGATATTTTAGATCATCGTAGGGCTATATGTTGTGCTCCCGTGACATTGAATTCTTCCGCTATTTCTCCTAAGTCCAAGTTCCCTATCAGAAGTTTCGCGACATGAGCTCCTGCCATCGGTTCCCGATTGCCCTTGCTGCTTGTCTTGCTTCTATGCTCGTTACCTACGGTTTGATCATCGTTGTTCTTGTGTGTGGAGTTGGCGACGCTCTGACTTCTGTCCCCTCTCTTCAGTGCTCCCTCACGGAATCGCCGGCGTTTCCTATGCCCACCCACCCCTTCCTCCTGCTCTGCATCGCTCTCGTTGCTGTTGTTGCCTTGTTTTTCGCCTTCACTCTCACCCTAGTGATGATTAGGAAGGAGGAGGTGGATCACATGGCTGTGTATTTCCTCTACCCTCCATAGCTCAATTCAACGGGTGGCAGGCAACGGATGTCACCCTAGAGATCGTTCTCATCGAGCACCCTATTTGCTGTAATTTGTAGGGTTGTTTGTGCATGGTATGAGGCGTTGGGAGTGTGATAATTTCTTTTGCGAAGGGTAGATATGCTTGAGGTGGACCTCTTGTATGTACGGGAGTCCCGATGTCCTTGATAGTGGTGCAAGATTCGATTTGTCTGGTTAATGTATGTTTATCTTGATAGGTTTTCCCTCTACTCAGAGTATGCATGGATTGACCTAACTGCCTATTGTGGGGCATATTGGCGTGGGCATTTTTGCATGCGCTACTGTGTATGCTTGTAGATCCATGTTGTTCTTCGATGGTCCGACTTTCGTGCACACACCGATGCGAGAATTTAGCGTGGTATAGTCGGTAGGCCAGATCTGTATTCAGACAGGCGTCATAGGCGGTTTTGAGGTGGGGTTTCGGTATAACATCTGCTGGGTCTTGAAGTTGTGGGGTATGAGCCATGTGTAGAAGCGAATTTTTTTTTTACGAGTGGGGTCTTTTTCGGAATTCTCCTCGACTGCGTTGGTAGGCCATGTCCTCAATTAGGCGGCATGATAGGTGGTCTGAAACCAGGGTTTGGTATAGCATCAACGGGTTCTTGGAGTGATGAGGTGTAGTCCATGACTGTTTGAAAAAAAAAAATTTCGAGTGGATTTTATCGAACTCTCCTCGACTGTGTCAAACGTTCTCTGCCTGCTATGTGATGTGGATATGTATATCTTACTAGTTTCGTTTGTTTGCTTGTTTTTTAGTAAATGTTCCCATCAACAAAAAAAAATAAATTTCAGCGTATCCTTCACATGTGTTATGGCTCACTTTGGGCGTTCGGAACACTATGAATCTTACCTCCCCCATATAAACTCTATTGTGCTCGTTCCTCTCTCCTACCTCTTCTCACCCATGGCTGGTTTCGACAAGTGAGAATCTTCCCCTTTTCTAAGTAAAGGTTGGGTGTATATATATATGAATTTATATGTATATACGTATATATTTGTATACGTATGTATATGTACATTTGTATATATATATTTTCTGCTTCATCATGACTTCTGCGAGGATTTGGGTAAAACCTCGATTCTTCCTATATGTTGGGGTTACGATTGTATTCGTTGGACGCGTATTTAGAGGTCATGAGGTGCAAATACTACTCGGAGAACATGCAGTTGAAGTTGGTGTCAGTATGTAAGCTTGGCTTGCCTCATTTTAGGATGTGGTGGACTCATCTCACTACACACGCACACACACACACACACACACACACACACACACACACACACACACACACACACACACACACGTACGTTCACACACAAATATTAAAAGGCCCCGATAAAAAAATATTATATATATATTTTTCCATTCGTTGATTGTTTCCTTAGGAAAAAAAAATAAAAAAATCGAAGAATACAAACATCTGCAAACCAAAAATCCCCCCCCCCCCAATTTTTTTTTTTTTTTTTTTTTTTTTTTTTTTTTTTTTTTTTTTTTTTTTTTTTTTTTTTTTTTTTGTTATTTTTTTTTAGTTCCAAACACTTATGTGTTTCCAAAAGATAAAAATATGGGGTTGTAGGGGTTAAAAATCTCTACAACCCCATATATACATATATATATATATATATATATATATATATATATATATATATATATATTTTAACCCATTATTTAATTCAGCAAAAATATGGTAAATTCGCGTCCGCGACGCGGAAGAGGTCGGCCGCGGATGGGGCTATATACACGGCCGCCATTCGAGCTCAACCCCGCGGACGCGTCCGTGGGTGTTTCACAGCCCGCCACACTTCTTGATCAAGATCTGCCTTAACCCAATCTGCTACTTTGGACTGATTCGAGGCGGCCTACCCTTCACTCTTTTGATGACCGCTTTTTCCACGGCCACCTGCTTTTACCTTGACTACTGCGGCGAGGGTGCTACCCTCAGCGATCTCCTTGTCGTCGTACTCTGAGCCGTCCATCAGGTCGGTGAGTTCCTCGATTTCAATTTTGGTCCCATCAAACTCAACCATCATCAATCTACTACCCTTCTTTTTCCATTCCTGTGGACACTTCTTCTTCCTCCCGTCTACTGGAGTAGGTTGAGCACTTCCTAGGGTAGCCTCCAAGTCTAAGGCCTTTTTAGAGAAGGTCTCAAAAGAATGATACTCGAGGCGAGCCTCGCTGGCCAGTAAGGTTCTGAGATTCTCGAGCAGACATCTCAGAAAAATGGTCAATAAGACCTGGTCATCATAGCGTATGCCAAGAACGACGATGAGGTTCTCTACGGTAGACGTCAGCTCTCTGATAGACTTGTACCGTCGCTGGTCCAGTCTGAGCATCGCATCAGTGGCAATTTGTGTCTGTTGCGGATTATGCCAACGAGCTTCTTCCATATCCCAGAACTCTTCAAAAGTGAGGGTTTTACCCCAGTCTGCCATGCATTGTCCGAACTTGGCCTTAGCGACTATCCCATCTAGCCATTTCGTTGCCTTACCGTCAAGGTAAGATGCAACAGTAATCACCTCCTCCTCTTGCAACATCCTCTTTGCCCTTACCCACATCGGAACCGTCCTCAACCAAGTGTTGAGTTCCTCGTCATTCATCTCACCGGAGAAAGCAAGGGGTGGCTTCATCGGGGTCTTTGGGTACCATGGACTTTGCTGCTGTCCCTGCGGTGGAACAGATTGTCGCGGCTGTGGTGTAGCTCCAACCGCTGGACCAGCAGAAGTAGATGCAACTGTCTATGCAGGCCAGCGCGGCTACTGCAGACGTACCACTTGGTTGTGTGCCAGCTTGTACCGGAAAGGGGTCTGACATCGCTGTCAACGACAACGGCGACTGTGCTGCTGGCCGTAATCCTGGCCTCTGCAAAAGGTCCAAGATTTGGTCCAAGGAGTTCTGCATGAAGTGCAGCCTGCTGTCGACATGCGCATGCAGTTACAGTATGCTGGACCTTAACGCTTTCATTGCGTCAGACATTGTTGACTCATCTAACTTCTCTAATGCAGCTTTGTCTGCCTCTAACGCATCTAGCCTGGCTGTTCTATTTCTAATCTCATTTTTTCTATCGGTAGCTTGCTTCAGTTCCCTCTCTAACCGTGTGCCGATCCTCTCAACTTGTTGGAGCTCTTGTAGCTCCCTCCCGCGTGGGGTCAACGGACTGAACAACGAGCCCGCCATTTGACTCGTGGAGTGACCGAAACCTACTGATCCGCAAGTACCTGTGCGCCCATGGGGCATCCCCAATTGGGTCCCAGACGAGGATGCAGCAGAGGATGCTGCGGCGGTAGCCATTGCTGCTGCGATGGCTTCTGCTGCTGCATGTTCCCTAGCTGCGGCATTTGCTCAACTTTGCTGCTGCTAACGCCTGACGTGCATCTAGTGTTGCTTCCTCGGCTGCTGCGTAAGCACGGGCTCTAACTTCGGCATGAAGCCGTCTTTCGTCTCCCGACAGTAGGAACTGAAACACGTATGGGACCCTATGTGATCTCGAACGTGTCAGCGTCGCATCGTTAACTCTACCCTCATTGGAATCTGACCCACTCATCAGCTAGGCAAACACTATCTGCACTACAACTCTCTACTGGAGTCCTACCGCAGCATGTGTCTGACCGACACCTAATTTTGTAAAAATTAATGTGTTCGGCAGGTCCCCTGCCTAACCGATCAAGTGGAAGTCTACAACATTCACAAAGACTATCCACGTAGTCAAATTTTATCTACATTAGTTCACTTATAGAAGATTTGCATAGAACTGGCTATGGTAGTATACTACAGTCCTAAACTTAGCTGTCTGTGAGGTGCTAGCAGTCTATCAACCAACAGATCAAAGATAAAACTAAGTTATGTTGCAAATGTATGAACAGTGGAAATGGTTGTGTTTACATTTGAGCACCAATTGAAACCTACCCTCCCCTCAATCCAATATACCGATGAGCAGCAAAGAGCAGCAGTGTCTTAGGTGTGCAATGTCGGCGCACCCTTGTGCCCCAGGTGTATGCTTATGACCTGGCTTGCCCCTTTATTTATCCTCGCGTGCAACGAGCCGTACGTCCGACTGATCCGGCTGATCAAGAGGCAATAAAAGGACAACCCCCAAGGTTGCTAAGGAATTATTTAACGTTGCAAACAGGACGACGATCACAGCCAGTGGATAGTTTGGAATCCCATCCAGAAATGTTTATAGACGGTCTAGGAACGTCTGCATTAGCTTGTTCCGTTCGCACGCCCCTCTATCAGCGCAACAAAGAACCCCAATGGACAAAGCAACCACCACTTACGTGTATTAAACCCATTGGGTTGGCATGGTGACCGTGACCCATGTGCTTCGACCAGGGCCCTTCAGCGGCACCACCCTTTCTCCTTCCAGATGCACCACGGGGAAGATTGTCGTCTCTCAAGGTATGGCGCTCACGACACCTCACCAAAAAGAGAGGACTCTCAAGTTGGACTCACTTCCTCGCGAAAAGAAGAGATTGAGAAGGTAGAAAAGGTAAGGAAATAACGTACCTGAAGATAGTTGCCCCCAACCACAGATTTCTCACCAATTGAGCTGAATGTGCATTTGATGACCTCTCATACAGCGTCCCAAGCTGTATAGCCTTCCAGCGCGCTCCCCTCTACCCGGGTCGTGCGCTAATTCGCCTGAGGTCACAGGCACCAACTGCGAAGAAGCATCGTCAACGCACCAAGTCTGTATGTTGCAAGTGCACAAGGTACGTGGCGATTCGAACCAGCTCCGATACCAAATTGCAAGGAACATGAATGTGAGCAAAGTAAAGAAATCGAAATTGCAAATCACGCTAAGTCCAAGTAGTCAAACATAGAGCAGATTGCACATTGGAACTAAGAAACCATTCATATGAGAACAATACAGCAGAGTTGTGAGGTCAATGTCCCAGCCCGTAGGGCCACACCAACAACAGAAGCCAATGTAGCTCTCTCTCTGAACGGCGCTGGCGCCCTACCTAAACTACTCCCTACTGCAATGACTTGCTGATTTCTGTTGCCGAGATTCACTGCGAGGCTGTACACGAGCCGTAGGGTAAATTTTGTAATTTTTGTTTGGCTGAGGGCTAACTGAGAGACCTGCCTGTGAGGAAATTTGAGAGGGACATATCTGCAAATCCGGGAAAGTACAGGCCCGGTACTAACCCGAATTTCTACAGCTACCCTAACTGCCTATAGTAGGCCCGGGCTACCCCTAGGACAGACAGGCCCTCAGTGGCCTATTCAGATAGACGGTCCTATAGCCTATAGCCGGGTTCGGTAGAGGCCGAAAGGCCGAAACAGTAACGGTACCGGTCGGTCAGTCAGTCCGGTCTAGGTCTAGGTTAGACTAGCGAGTCTATAGGTAGGGGGAGGACACCGATTCAAGACTTTTGGCTTTTCATTTTTCGCGTGCAGCGTTCGGGGCCAACCAAGTTGTGCAGCGCTGAAAGTCTACATCGGCACCTGAGACTTCAGCTACGAGAGGCAGCCATAGCCGGCCTACTTGAGACAGCCATAGCTAGGGCTGGTCTCAGCGTATCTATCCCCTGAGGATATCTGCGCCTGGCAGGACTAATCTGAGGCTTTTCACTGGGTTCTTGTGGGTACTGCTGCTGCGGTAGCAGCGAGGCAACCATAACTTCCTTCTTCATTGTCAGAGTGACTCATCGGCACTGGGGACTACCTCGCTGTTCATGATCTGCATCTGGGTGTATGGCGCTGGCCTCTGGGAGGCTGTTGCGGTGCAGCGCTAGACTCTGGGAGCGGAGTAGTAAGTGGAGTGTGTGGTACAGAGGTGGCGAGACACTGGTTGAACTCTTTAACGATAATTTGGGTTACTTGAGTTGAGTTGGCTCATCATGTGTGTGATATTCCAATTGTGATCTTCGCAGTGTCATATTGTGATTGGTTGTTGGGAGTATGTCGGAGAGAGAGAAACACTTTGTGTACTCTCCCTTTCTGTGCATGGTTGCTATTCCGCTGTTTATCTCTGGTCTGTGTGCAGTTGGACTCTGTCTCCTCCTTCCCTTTGTCTCAGGCATGTATGGGCGTGTGTGAGTTCTTCTGTGTGTGAGTGGCAAACAAATTGTCAGACAACCAAGTTCATAACAGTTGGTATCGGAGCGGCGATTGGACTTGGAGCACTGAGGGTTGAGCGCAACAGGGGCATCCTCTTCTTCTGACCCTAACTGGCAAGAAGTTCCATGGTGGCTCTACATCTTCAGTGAAGATCCAGTAGGGAGGAGGACATACAGGCGGTGATTGCAAAGCATCCGTGTGCGATTGATATGGCACCCTGAGCCTATCTGCGTGCCTGACAGGAATTGGCGAGAACAAGGGTATTTCGCCATCCACTCTTCTGACCCCAGTTGATGATTGGGATCAGGATGGCGAATTATACCCTAATCCGGTAGTAACTGGGTGGCGGCTTTTATCCCAGTATAGCGCTGAAGGAGGATTGATCGCAGGATCACTCTCCTGCTGAATGCCTGTTCAGGGCTAAATTTTGCACCAGTGGCTTACCTCTGCAGTGGCGAGATATCTACAGGAGAGTTTTCTCTTGCCGCTGAGGCAGATCCAGTGAATCGGAGACTTGGGGGTGAATCACCACATCATACAAGATTAGATCCACAAGTTTCAGGAGATTCTACGCGTGGAAATCAGTGGAGGAGTGTCTGCATGCAAGTGGCGAGACCAGGGTCTGGCAGCCATAGCCTGAGCTTCATCATCCACTGAGTCAAACACTGCAAGTGAGTGTGTTCCGTGTGACTCCCTGTGTAGCGATTAGTTTAGGAACAGTAGACTCTGAATTGATAGCCTGCCTGTCAGTAGGGTCACAGTTTTGAAACTGTCAGACTGCAAAACAGCCATAACCATCTTCTTCCTCCCAACCCTGACTCATAACTCACCATCCATTAACCTGTTCTGACTCAAAATTGTTCTCGGACTGTATGACAGTATTGCGTTGCACCCTGTATGTTCATTAGGGGAATTATGTACAGAAAAAGTAGTGATACTGTGGATTTAAGTTTTGCGCTGAGTCTATTTATAGTCTGTACTATCTAGGGTCAGTCACAACTCAAAATCTGTCCGTCAGAATTCAAGTCTGTCAGTCTGGGGTGAATCGCAATTCAGTTTCTGTCATCTGTGCTGAAGCGCTAGCCCAAAATTAGTGAATTTGAGTCAATGTAGTGAAATCCTGAAAATCACAAAATCTGTGAGTATTTCTGTTTATGTCAATAGTGGCGAAATTTGAGTTTAAGGTTGTCAGGGTGTAGAGTACTGCATCGCTACTACTTGTTGTTGTGTTTCAGTCAGTTCTTGCCTGTATCTTTCACTACCACTAATCTTCTTTGTTTTCTGATGGGCTCTGGATCCTAGTGACCCCTGGAATGCACTGATAGTGTATGTTGCACCTTCAGTGAAGGTTCAGTGTCAAGCAAAGGAAATCGTTAGTGAATGATTTTACTAGACTAATAGTCAGTCTGACTACTGACCCCAGTGGTTGTATTCTAGCCCTAACCGCTTGTGCCTATTAACCCACCTTACCTTGTGAATTGACAGTGCAGCGGTTTCTGAGTATCTGAGGGAATTAAAAATCGTTGCATCCCAGGCTGTCTAACTTTGTTGTTTATTGTTTTGAAAGAGAAGATGTCTTACGCGGCTGACTCAGGTGAAGGGAAGGTAGAGGTAGTAGTGAAGGAGGAAGAGCAACCTTCCCCCTCTGCTCCTGCCCCTCCTCCTCTCACCCCTGCTCAGCGGCGTAAGCAGGAAATCCAGGAAAAACTGCGAGAGCAACAGGCGCTGCTCGCAGAAGCTGAGAGACAGGAGGTTGCAGAATTAGAGGCTGCAACAGATGCGTCTCGCAAGGAATTTTTGCTGCAGCAAGCAGAGAAGACTATGGTTGATGACAGGGTGACCCATTGCACAAAGTATCAGGCTGAGCTGGTAATTCTGCAGAACAAAATACCAGCCAGCCACTTTACTAACTGGGATGAAAGAATCCAGCGACTGGAAACCAGAGTAGGGGACCTGGGAACTCAGCAGTCCAAGATCCTGGATTGAATCCAGAATCTGACTACTCAGTTAACAGCGGCCAACCTGATTACTCCTCTGGTCCTTGTGGTCCCCTCTCCAAAACCCAAAAGGCCTTCTCAGCCTTCTTCACCTCTTTCTTCTCCTCATCCCTCTCACAAGTCATCTCCCTCTGTCTCCTCCCAGGCCAAAGCCACACCTCCTCCCACCGTCGCTGTTGTAGTTGCGGGGGATCAGCGAGGACCCAAGATCCCTGCACCCAACAAATACAAGGGGGATGACCCCAAGATTGATGTTGGGGACTGGGCCGCAGGAACCCGGGCCTACTTGAAGGGGTTCTAGTGCCCAGAACAACAGAAAGTGGCTACCGTTGTGGGGCTGCTGGAGGGTCCATCCCAGAAACGGGCTACATCCACAGCGAGCGCCCAACTGCAGACTCTGGAGGACTGGGTATTGGCACTGGGGTTGACTAACTTTTACAGGCCCTGGAGGATAGGTTTGCAGACAAGGAGCGTGCACGCAAAGCTGCTGATAAAATTGTACGCTTGGGCCAGCAGCGTTACAACGACAATCTGCAAGCTCTTTTTGCTGAATTTGAACAGCTTACCTCCACCCCTGGATTAGTGATGTATGCTGATGATTTGCTGACTAACTTTTGCAGGGCCGTGCCTAAAATGTTTTGTGTTGCATTGTACAACGCAGGGCACAAAGACTGGAGATCTTTTGGCCACGCAGCACTGGGTATGGAGGCCAAGCTCCATGTCCAGGCCCCTTCCAGTGACGGGAAGAAAGGCGTTTTCCCTCGCGGTGGTAGAAGGGGAAAAGCGGCCTTTGCGCATGCAGGATCTGCGTCATCTTCTTATGCAGGATCCCGGCCTGGTACACCGCCAGGTGGGACTGCAGCAACAGTTGTCACAGATGTTGCAGCGGCCATACAGCAGCTGCAGGCTGCGATGGGGGCCTTCCAAAAGGGCAGGTCTTCCTCCAGCACAGCCTCCAGCACCAAGGGGAAGGGCCAGGGACGTCGCTCTTCAACCCGTGCCCGACGCCCTAATTTGCCACGTGACATCCGTTTCCCAGCAGATCCTCTCAACCCCAACACTCTCCCATGGCATGATTTGAAGATCCAGGAGGGAGTGTGGAGGAAGAGGAAGGAGAGAGGAGTCTGTTTGAGGTGTGAGGGGCAGCACTTCCTGAAGGGCTGTCTCTACGTGCCTAGCCCAACTCGGTCAAAAAACTGAAGCTGAACCTGGAGACAGCAGTTCCCTCCAGTGCTGCACCTGCATCTGCATCTGCAGCAACTTCAGTTGAGACTTGTGTCCTTCCCAGTATGGGGACTGCACGGGCAGCATCCTTCACTTATGAGGATCGTGACCCGGATCAGGAACCGGACCAGTCTGAGTGTCAATCACTTGCTGCTTTTCTCTTTCATCTGAAAGAGCAAAAGAAGAACAAGTCTGATCTCATACTCCTTCGGCCCCTGATCAATCACAGCAGAATCAAACGGCTGCTGGACTATGGAGCCACCCGAAATTTCATGTCTCCCAGTGCAGTCAAAAAACTGCATCTGGGCATGAAAGTAGTGCAACTGCAGCAACCGCTGCAGGTCAGGATAGGTGACTCCACTGTACTAACTATCCGGGAGAAGGTCAAGCAAACAGATGCCCCCATCACTCCCTGTCCTCCTAAGATACAACAGGTAGTTGACCAGTATGCTAATCTGATGCAGGAGCCCTTTGGATTACCCAACCGGCCAACCAAGCATCATATTGAGCTGCTGCCTGGAGCGGTCCGTCCCAAGGGCCGCATCTACAGGATGTCTCCTGCTGAGCTTAAGGAGCTCAGACGACAGCTTGAGACCCTGACCAGCAAAGGCTGGATCAGGCCCAACACTTCTGAATCCGGTGCCCCAGTCCTCTTTGTTCCAAAGCGGAGTGGCGAGTTTATAATGTGCATCGACTACATGGCTCTCAACAAGATCACTAGGAAGAGTACAGAGCCACTTCCTAGGATCGATGACCTTCTTGATATTGTCCAGGGATGCACCATCTTCAGCAAAGTCGACCTCAAATCTGGTTACCACCAGATTGAGATGGAAGAGGAGGATGTCCACAAGACAACCTTCAAAAACCAGATATGGTACTTATGAGTATGTGGTTATGCCATTTGGACTTTGCAATGTACCTGGCACGTTCCAGACAGAGATGCACCGCATCGCCTTACCTGGATAAGTTTATGGTTGTCTACCTAGATGATATCCTGGTATTGAACAAAACTACCAGGGAACATGCGGAGCACCTGGCTCTGGTTGTTCAGTCATTGCGTGACAGCCAGTACAAAATCAACAAAAAGAAGTCCTCTTTTGGAGTTCCCTCTGTGATCTACCTGGGTCATGTTATCTCTGGAGATGGTCTGGCCCCTGAAGCACCCAAGATTGCTGCTATTTAGGATTGGCACAGCCCCAGAGAATGAGAGATGTCTGGTCTTTCTTGGGTCTGGCCTCATACTACAGAAAGTTCGTCAGGAACTTTTCTGCAGTGGCTGCACCCCTGACTAACCTCACAAAGAAAGACACTCCCTTTTTTTGGTCTCCTCATTGCCAGATGGCCTTTGCATGACTCAAACAGGCCTTGACTCATGCACCTGTTATGAAGTTACCTAACCCCACTTTGCCTTTTGTCCTGACGACTGACGCCAGTCAGTATGGCATTGGGGTAGTACTTCAGCAGGATGATGGGAATGGTCTGAGACCTGTCGAGTTCATGACTAAAAAGATCAAGACTCAGAAGCTTCAGGACTCTACCTACGAGAAAGAGCTATATGCTTTTGTAAGTGCCCTGAAACATTGGAAGCACTTTCTCCTGGGCAGACACTTCAAGATCTTTTCTGATCATTTCACTCTACAGTGGTTGAAGTCCCAGGGAGAGTTGAATGATAAGCTGACACGCTACATTCAGTTCATCGATCTGTTTGACTTGGAACTGAAGCACAAGAATGACTGCTACAAGTAAGTAGCTCATGCCCTCTCTCGTAGGCCTGATTCTTTTGCGCTGATCTCCTCTACTCACTCCTTTGGAGAGGAGGTCCGTCAGACCATTACTCGCCTATCGCCTCAGGATCTGACTTATGGACCCATCGCTAGGAATCTGCAAGCGGATTCCAACTCTGAACCCGACTATGCTATGAGTTCAGATCTGCTGTACACTTACAGCAGAGGAGAGGAGTGCCTATGCATTCCTGAGGATCAGCAGTTGAGGACACTACTGATGTTAGAGTGTCACGATGCGCGTGGACACTTTGGGCTTTAAAGTCGTATGCAGCCCTGTCACAGCGCTTCTTCTGGAAGGAGATGCGGAATTATATATTGCGCTATGTGGAAACCTGTGAGCTATGTCAGAGGAACAAGGTTCAGCGTAAACCTCCTATGGGACTGCTCAAGCCCTTGCCCATACCTGATGGTCCTGCACAGACTGTCTCTATTGATTTCACAGACTTAGGCAAGACCACCCCTCGTGGCATGCGTCAGGTCATGGTCTGCGTTGACATGTTTTCCAAATACGCAGAGTTCATCCCCTTACCAAAGGTGGCGAGGGTCCCGACTGTGAGAGAAGCCTTTTCTGAGAGCTGGGTCAGGCACCATGGACCGCCCACTTCTATTGTCAGCGATTGAGATTCCCGATTCTGCAGTGATGAGTGGCAGTCCTACTGCAAGGACTACCTGCACTCACACCTGGACATGACTTCTGGTTGCCATCCTGAAGCCAATGGATTGGCTGAAGTGATGAACCAAGTCCTATTCCATCTGCTGCGTCCTGTCATCTCGCCAGATCAACAGGACTGGGTTCTACACTTAGCGAGGGCACAACTCATGTATAACATGTCTGTCCACTCCTCGACAGGGTTTAGTCCCTACCGATTACACAAGGGACGTGAGCCACGACAACCTCTCGACGATATCATCGATAAGGCTAAGCCTGATTTGACCCGAGACACGGCAAAGTTCGCTAGACGCTATCGTCTGGATGTGGAAAGAGCCCGCGCGAACTTGTTCAAAGCCCAAAAGACTATGATTGAACAAGCTAATCGCCACAGGCGGCCTTCCCCCATCCGCACTGGTGATCATGTCTGGGTGGCCAGCTCTGAGCTGTCGAGGGAGGAGGACATCTCCTCCAAGCTTTTGCCACGTTACCTGGGTCCATGGCAGGTCCTAGATACAGTGGGCGTTGATCCGTTCGGTCTATCGTATGTCATCGATGTCCCGCTGCATCCACGTACCTACCCGGTCTTCCATGCATCCAAGCTGCTGCCTTTCACGCCAGCTGATGCATTTCCTAACCAGCCCCCTCAGTTCGGTCCACCAATCCCTAGTAAGGGATAAAAAATTGGTCGGATTGAGGATGAGTGGGGCACAGGCCCCGATCGGCAGTATCTTGTCAGGTTCGCATTCCAGCCACCTTCACAGAGCCGATGGTTCTACAGGAAGGACCTGATCAAGACAGCAAAATCTATTGTTCTGCGGTATGAAGCGGCCCAGAATGGTAACCTTCGCCGTGCACTCCGCCTACACCCCTAGCTCGGAGGTCCTCGCTCCCGGGGAGGGTAAGCCTGCAATGACTTGCTGATTTCTGATGCCGAGATTCACTGCGAGGCTGTACACTAGCCGTAGGGTTAGTTTTGTAATTTTTGTTTGGCTGAGGGCTAACTGAGAGACCTGCCTGTGAGGAAATTCGAGAGGGACAGATCTGCAAATCCGGGAAAATACAGGCCCGGTACTAACCCGAATTTCTACAGCTACCCTAACTGCCTACAGCAGGTTCGGGCTACCCCTAGGACAGACAGGCCCTCAGTGGCCTATTCTGATAGACGGTCCTATAGCCTATAGCCGGGTCCGGTAGTGGCCGAAAGGCCGAAATGGCAACGGTACCGGTCGGTCAGTCAGTCCGGTCTAGGTCTAGGTTAGACTAGCGAGTCTATAGGTAGGGGGAGGACACCGATTTAGGACTTTTGGCTTTTCATTTTTCGCGTGCAGCGTTCGGGGCCAACCAAGTTGTGCAGCGCTGAAAGTCTACATCGGCATCTGAGACTTTAACTACGAGAGGCAGCCATAGCCGGCCTACCTGAGACAGCCATAGTTGGGGCTGGTCTCAGCGCATCTATCCCATGAGGATATCTGCGCCTGGTAGGACTAATCTGAGACTTTTCACTGGGTACATGTGGGTATTGCTGCTGCGGTAGCAGCCAGGCAGCCATAGCTGCCTTCTTCATCGTCAGAGTGACTCATCGGCACTAGGGACTACCTCGCTGTTCATGATCTGCATCTAGGTGTATGGCGCTGGCCTCTGGGAGGCTGTTGTAGTGCAGCGCTAGACTTTGGGAGTGGAGTAGTGAGTGGAGTGTGTGGTATTGAGGTGGTGAGACACTGGGTTGAACTCTGTAACGATAATTTGGGTTACTTGAGTTGAGTTGGCTCATCATGTGTGTGATATTCCAATTGTGATCTTCACAGTGTCATATTGTAATTGGTTGTTGGGAGTATGTAAGAGAGAGAGAAACACTGTGTGTATTCTCCCCTTCTGTGCATGGTTGCTATTCCGCTGTTTATCTCTGGTCTGTATGCAGTTGGACTCTGTCTCCTCCTCCCCTTTGTCTCATGCATGTATGGGCACGTGTGAGTTCTTCTGTGTGTCAGTGGCAAACAAATTGTCAGACAACCAACTTCCTAACACTACAGCTACAATTATAGTATGATCACAACCAGACGACTTGAAGACCAGCGTGCTTGACGTCAACACCAATGCCGACCTCCTCTCTCTACGCCAAGTAAGTACCTCCGTTGCTCCCCACTCTTATCCCATCTTCCCACTCTCGTGCCTCCTTCCCGAAGACCACCTTCGGCTCCCTACCTCTCACAGCGCCCTGCATCCCGGCTATGGCTGCTGGCGCTCGCTGCCCTGCAGCGACCCACACCTCTGCGCCCGCTACCGCGCTTTGACCACCAAGCGCAGCATGCATGCACTCGCTACACAATGCAGCCACGTGCCGACAATGCCACATCGGCCAAGATCCCTTCCCGTGCGCCCAAACTGCCTATACGCCTTGTTAGGCGCGTGTGCGGCTCACTCTAGCCTGTGACTGGGCCCCGATATCTGTGTCCAGGACCAATGCAGATGGGGCCCAGACTTTACAGTTGCGCCCATCAGCCTAGGGCCGATGTACAAATTCAGATAGCGGTCCGGTTTCCCATTGGCACGCTCGGCCTCTACGACGACAAAGCTGCTTTTCGATTGACCAACGTCCAATGTGTGATGTGTCGGCCTCCCCTGGCCTTGTGCCCAGGGCTTAACCAACTGAGGCCCTGGGCTCAACTGCTTTTGCAGGAGTCAAGGCATCACGATGCACTCCAACCAACTGGCGTGCTGCAACTGTTTGATACCCACTTCAGGAAATGCTGAAAGAAAGGCCTCTCGTAGATATTTTGGCCCGCCTTCACTTAGGGCGTGCGGCTTGCTGGGTGCCTTAGCCCAGAACACATTCACGTCGGCAAGGCCCCAATGAGGGCTCAATCCTCACACACACACACACACACACACACACACACACACACACATATATATATATATATATATATATATGTATATATATATATATGTATGTAGAGTCTTCCATCTTGTGTGGGGGAGTGATAGTCGACTTTGAATTTGGTTAAGGTAGATAATCATTAAGAATGTAATCAGTGAGGGGATTCTGCAGACTGTTGGGGGTTCAGCCTCCTGATGAGTCAGTGAAACTCCGACGAARYAGTTTGTCACAGACCCTCGTTTGTTGTCCTCTTCTCTCTCTCTGCCTAGGTTTTACCGGGCAGTTCTGTTTGTGACGATACATATATATATATATATATACATATATATATATATACATATATATATATACATATATATATATATACATATATATATATTCTGTTCTGCTACGGTTTTTTCCGGGTCAAGCGGAAGTGGTCGAGGCCGTTACTAGGCGGCCGTGTTGTGCCTTTAATGCCAGTGGCGCGTCTGGAGTGTATTTTTTGGCTGTGACAGACCTTTCTTTGTTTCGTGGATGTTTTGCTGGCTTGTGATGGGGTGTGAAACGACAGTCTGTTGAATTTTTCATCTGGTGTGGGTGAGTGATAGTCTACTTTGATTTTGGTTAAGGTAGATTATCATTTACAGTGTAATTAGTGAGGGAATTCTGCTGACTGTTGAGGGTTCAGCCTCCTGATGAGTCGGTGAAACTCCGACGAAACAGTTTGTCCCAGCCCCTCGTTTGCTGGTCTCTTCTCTCTCTCTGCCTAGGGTTTACCGGGCAGTTATGTTTGTGACAATATATATATATATACATATAAATATATATATATATATTCTACTATGGTTTTTTTCGGTCAAGTCGAGCGGCAGCGGTCAGGGCCGTTACTAGGCGGTCATGTTGTGCCTCTAGCGCCAGTGGCGTGTCTGGAGTGTATTTTTTGGCTTTGACAGACCTTTCTTTGTTTCGTGGATGTTTTGCTGGCTTTTGATGGGGTGTGAACCGACAGTCTGTAGAGTTTTCTATTTGGTGTGGGTGAGTGATAGTCTACTTTGATTTTGGTTAAGGAAGATTATCATTTACAGTGTAATCAGTGAGGGGATTTTGCAGACTATCGAGGGTTCAACCTCCTGATGAGTCGATGAAACTCCGAGGAAACAGTTTGTCACTGCCCCTCGTTTGTTGTCCTATCAGCGATTTCGTCAAAACGGACATTTTATATTTTTTGAACGAAATTAGAATTGTCATTTTCATTGTGATTTTGGTGACTTTTGATGTTTTGTTAAGTCAAATTTTGGGAGGTACCCCACTTTTGTTTGTATTTTGTGGTCCTGTTTACCGCAAATTTTACATCGCTTTCTTATAAAATTTGTGGGGTATGACAATTTCATTCTCATTATGTGAAGAAATAGGGGTATTTTTTATCAATTTTGTTACTTTTCAAGCATATCGATTATCATTTATTATTTTTCACAGTATAAAATCATAAAATTTTTTGGTTTTCTCCGGCCAATACATGAAGATTAGAGAAACATATTAAGTATCATACCAATAAACACCTATGATTAGCAGTACATATATGGGTTGTTTCATGATTGCATTGGTTGGTTTGCTGTTCTTATGTTTCTTTACATGTATTTAATGCTTATCAAAGTGTTGTGTTGTCCCCGCAAATACCCTCCCCTTTGCCCCTCTACCCTCCTGCCCTCCCTCGAAAACATATTGAGCCCCCTGTTTCGTCCCGCCCCCCCCCCCAAATATATATATTTTTTATACGCATGATCTACACTAAAAACAAAAAACGAAATCGTTTGTTGGAAAATGATGGTGAACATGTAGCTACTTGAAGGAAATCCGCCTTGTCAAAAAGGAAAGAAAACTAAATCAGTCAATGAAAAAAATAAAAACGTCTACTCCAACTTCAATGCACGAAAAACTCTCTCACGCGCGAAAATTCTACTACCTTGTAAGCAAACGAGTCATAAGCAATCTTTTGTCAATAGATGCAACAACGTCGTAATTGAATGAGGCTGGTGCGTTGCCCGTTTGCTCGGCGGAGTACACTGTCCATGATGTTGAAGTTGGTAGTTAGTTTTGTTTTCTTGTATTTTCGAGGAACCCCTGACGCATCTTGCTCTTTTATGACGACTGACGATATCCCGACTATGATAGATGTTCTTCGAGCTACGAATTTCAACATTGCATCCCGTGCGTTGATACAGTACTGTTTGATGGGTTGCTTATACGCTCGCATCATCAAATCTTCATCGTCCCCTCGCGGTATTTTGTGTCTCCATATATGTGTTGCACATATTGTTAGCCCTTAATTAATAACTTACAGCAACACATGTAACGGTTGCGCTGGATTTGTGTGGCACCATGACAGACAAAATTCCGTAACCGTAAAACATTTGTTTGTACGTTGCGATCCCTTCGTTTTTGTAAGTACTGTTGTGGTCGCATACCTTCACGAGATTGTAATTTTTTTTCTTACACCGCGAGGATATAAGTTCAGTGACGGTTCATCATAGGCAAAATCCCACGTGATAAGTTCGATCACGTTACAGTGCCTTTTTAGTCGCTCGGATGTCATCTCCGCCCATTTTATCGACGTTCCCCACTT